TCCTTCTTACAGTGATAACATCGAATACCAGATGTTTCGCCACTATAAGACTTCTGTTGACTTTTACCTTTCTTCTTGTCGAACTTACCATCCTTTCGCAAGAATTTTCCCTTAACAGTCAAACCTTCACCAACCGTCGAAGGATTATGCTCCTTTCGTTCGTTCAAGTCCTTAGAGATTTGATCATGTACAAACTTTCAAGTTTCATCCATAATCTCGATGTTGTAGTCTCCTTGATATCTGTCGAAGAACCTTATCACCAAGGCTCAATAATATTGCGTTGCGGACTTTCTCAATCATGATTGTCTTTTCTTTTGTCATTAATGTAGCGTCCATGGCTTCCTCTCCCTTCAATGATTCCAAATAACCCTGTTGAACCAGTAGGGCTTTCATCTTCAAGCGCCACAGGCTGCAGTCTTTCACTCTAGTGAACTTTTCAATCTCATAGTTGAAGGCATCTTCTCCACGCTCACCGCACCAATTTGTTATGAATAGGATGTCTTGAAACAAACTATAAACGGTTTCTTTATGATCAAGAAACACACAAGGGTTAAGGTTAACAAAGAAAACAAGGGAAAACAACAAAAAGAAACAACAAGAACTGGTTATAAACTGCTATTCTTTGCTTTCTTTATCAAACAAGATTACAAGTATACAAGAATAACAAATAACCTCTCTCTTGAATTAGAATTTTATCTTCCTATTTTTCCTTATACAAGATGAGAGACTAGCATGCTATTTATAAGAAAACTAGCACACTAACCTAATGGCCTTTTTAACAATTACCCATTACAAGCTAGCTTAGGGTACAAGTTAACTTAAACAATTGAGCTTACAAGCAATACCCAATTCAATATGCTAATAAACCTAGCAATATTGACTAATGCATGTTAGAACACACTTCGACTATAACATGCAGTACTCGCAAACAGACTTTGACCATACTAGAGTTCGATCCAATATCTCACACAGAGGTTTTGATTTGCAACGGTGGATTTGATCTTCCGGTTCAGTAGAAATTGGTTTATATATTAGCTTATAAGATGAGTGAATTAAGTTTGAATTTGAATTATACCTAGAAAATGACGTGTTTTCTCTTAACATAGTAGAGCGGTTATAACAGTTCGTTTATTTTCAAGCATAGGATGTGGAGATCCGTTGGACGAATCTTGAATTTGGATCAACTGTGCTCTAACCCAGAATAACATTCATGCTCTATGAGTGACGTGGTGGATCGATATATTTTTCGGACCGCAGCTATTGGGCTTTCTGACCGGCCCCAGAGAATTTCCCCCCAAGCCTCTTCCTCTACTATGTGGGGGTAAAGACTTGTAACATTTATCTTTTCCTACCGATTGTCACTCGACTTGAAGGGAAAGTTAAAATGTGACGTTAATGTCATTGGGAAATCGCACCCTAAATGTGCATCATGCCTTAGATGTCTTTTTGTATGTTATATAATAATGGCCTTTAAAATTGAAGTGCTTGAGTGTTTTCTCGAGGTGATTTGACCCTTTGATAGTGCTTGTATCTATCTTTTTGTAAGATATTATATGATATTTGCGGAGTCAGTTAAAAATTTCTTGGGGGGTTACCTTTACTCTTTTGTCATCTATATTTCCACAACATGATATTCTCTCAATCGATGGAAGTGGTGTCTACCAGGAGCAAAAAATTGAAAGACGGTACTTCTGCCTCCCAGGGTAACCCCACGATTTCGCCAGTTATTTCTACTTTTTGCTTGTGCGGGTTGCCTTGAAAGGATTTCCTCAATGTGGGTCCTTCTTTAGACTGAAACGTTTTGATCCTTGAGAAAGATAAAAGGATTTGTACTGAGTATGGTTAATGTGTTATTCCTTTTTATGAGTGCACTTTTTAGATCATTGGTCTTTGATTTCCTTTCAACAGTTTTGAAATAGAGGTTTTGAACTATCTGATGATTTCTCCCTCGCAACTGAACCCTGTGAGTTAGACTTACATCAAAATCTTACAGTATTGGTGTGACTATCTGGGAGGAAATTCCTCTTTATTCTTTTTCTTCTATCCTTTCAGAGTACAACGTAGCTCATCAAACCACGAGTAGTACCAGGGCTTAATTACGTTGGCTCAGGTTACCCGTTATTTCAATGTGTTTTCCAATGGAGTGAAGTATTTCGAATATCGGTTCTTTTTTGTTACCCCTTCCAACGAAGAGGCTTTGTGACAGTATGCACCATAGGAATTGGGACAAAGAACATGTGTATAGGTATGTTTCACAACCAAGGCCACTTTTTGACGGGGAATGGGTTATACATCTTAAAAGAAAGTGTCATGTCCTGAGAGGAACTTTACCTGAAGAAAATGTTGATCACTTTCGACAAAGAGTGGTTTTACGCCTAGGGCATTGTTCCCCGGAATGAAAGCTTAAATAAATAGTAGAAGTAGCTCACCAAAATTTGCTTGTTAATGAAAGGCGGTACCAAAGAGGAGAGGAAGATTATCTTTGGTGAACTCCTGGTGTCTTTTTTGTAACTATGAGATGCAACCTAAAAGGAAGTGTGAATTAAGGTTGCCCGACTTTTCTCGTTTTTATGCAACAATTCTTAACTTGTTATTTTTCTAAAAGTTGTGAATATGATATGTTCTTAGGATTACTTTAAAATGAAGAAAATAAAATGTATAAAGTAAAGAACACAAAGCAATTTTACTAGTTCCCCATATCAACCAAGGATACATCTAGTCCCTTAACACCTTGAAGAATTTTCCACTATGCTTAGATCTTTGTACAAGTCTTCACCAAGACCTCTTGACAATCTTCTAATGCATACACTTGAAGAAAAAAACATACTTTCTTTTACAACAATAAACACCAAACTTATGATGGACTTTGAATCTTCCCAATTTAAATGATCTTTTTTAAAACACCAAACACTATAGTGGACTTTGATGATAGAGTGATCTTAATCTTATGTATTTGTTCTTGAAATTCTACCAAATCAGACTTATTAAATTTCAGTGCAATTTAAGTCGAAAATCACATGTTAACAAATGCTCTCGGTGAAGACAACACTTTTTAATAATAATACTACTAATAATAATAATAATAATAATTCTTTTTTATTACATTACTCCACATCATTTCAATCAAACTATTTGCCACACTCTAAAGAAAGAACTTGCTATTAATTTTTCGAACAATAACTTCTCATAAAAGTTAAAATAAATTTTAATTCAAAATTTAGACAAATAAATTTAAAAAAAAAAAATCATCACAAATCAACATAATTGTGCATAAATGTAAAACAAGGTTTGAACCTGCCTGCAACTAGTCTACTCGATGAAAAAACTTGTTTAATTTACATCATGGTCTAATACCTCCCAACATAGAGGATAAGTGTTGCAGTTTTCCATTAATTCTTTAATTTTTCTAAATATTCCATATATCTTGGAGTTTTCCCTTTCTTTTTTTTTCCTTATACACGGTTGTTCAACAAAACCATTTCATGGTTACTATTGTCATATGATTTATTTGTATTGGAAAGTCCTAGAAACTCCACCATTTGAAGTATATCAAAGTTTATCGTTGTTGTCAACTTCATTTTTATCGTCGTCGTTCACTACAGCTTACTTCAAAAGTAATAGAGTATTTTGTACATTAAATTTCATTAATCCGGAGACTAGTAATTCAATTCATCCTAAAAATAGGTAGTTTAATGTGGTAATCTGTAATCACTTGCATATAAAGATACTTGATGACAAGTATACAAATATTCATGTAAAATCGCCTTGAGAAACCCTATGTTTCATTTCGTGCCAAACATTAAAAGCAAATTCCAAGTAAATCACACATTGTTACGTTAGGGATGCTCGAATAAAGAATCCATGTTATTGGATTTTGTTCTGCAAAATCAAAGCTTGCTTCATATCATAAGAATAAGATTGGTAATTGATTCCATTGATATGAGGCATAACCAAGACTAAGATGAAGAAATAATTTTGACATAGATAGGGAACACTATTCCCAAGATCAATGACCATAAGAATGGAAGAATAGTTATGAGACATGTTGAGAAGGTGCCTAAAGAACTCACAAAATACCATTGATCCCATATTATAAAGAGGAACTCGAGAGATGCTTAGAATGACTTCATTTGACTCTCATAAATCAACTTAATGAAGAAAAACAACAATTATACAAGGGGAAGAAGATAACTAACTTAAAACAACCAATTAACTAACTAATACTTGAACTACAACTCAATCATTTTCTTAAGTATCATTATTTTAATATACATTCTCTCACACTCATGAGAAATCATCTACAATAGTATAATACAATAATGAAGACAACACTTTTTAATAATAACAATAATTCCTTTCATTTCTCCACATCAGTTTCAATCAAATTATTTGTAACACTCTATGGAGAAAGAAGTTACAATCAATTTTTCAGATTGAAACCGAACGATCTTAATCAGACAGTTCTGAGTAACCGTTTTAAAACTATAATACAAAAATAAGTATTTTTTTAAACCCGCTATTAACGTGCTTACCGCGTCAATGCCGCATTTTTCAAATAATAACTTCTCTTAAAAGCTAAAAATAACTTAGTAATTCAAAATATGTTCATATAATCTATTAAAAAATGTCATATTTTCATAAACTCACAGCTCCATTAAACCAGAACTAAAAAGAAATCAACATCACTAAGCACTGATATATTTCATATCAAAGTAAATCATCACAATGAGAATGAACAAATGGATTACACTTAGCATTCAATTTGATTTGGATGTAAAAAATGTAAAACACAATAAGCACAATGGCACAAAAAATCTAAGAAAGTTAAAACAACGGAACAAATACCATATTTCAAACATATTCGATACTGGAGTATAACTCTACATCCTCTGATTTCTCTCCAATTCTACAAAATGCAGATAAACGAATATTAGCAATATCAGAATCAAAGCATAACAGTAATACGAATCCTTTAACAGTGAAATGAACTGTGTGATCAATTAAGAGTCCAAAAGAGCGACCGAGTGTCCGGCGGGGGAAGCAGTGACGGAAGTAGCATAAGTGTCATCGGCGAGATGAGATCTAGTTTTAACGGTTTCGATCATGCGTTTACTGATCTCTTTAGAGTATACCTCGAGGATCTGAATGCTGTCGTCGTCGGGGGAAGAGGAATCATCGGCGATGGAGAAGGACTCGGCCTCGATCTGGCTTGCGGCGACGGAGGCTTCGTCAAGCGACAATGTGCCGTAGCGTTTAGAGAGGATTGAGGGAGTGGAAAAGGTCTCGATCAAGCGGTTTGTGACGGCGTCGCGAGTGCGTTGGGTGGGAGGCCATATAGTGAAGGAGGCGGCAAAGTTCGGTAGCGGTGGCGGAGCCTCCGTTGAGGGCGGTGTACCGGGTGAGGACATTGTGAGAAAGAGGGGAATTTGAAATGAATTGGAATGTGTTATTTTTAAGATTTTGAAGAGAGTGGAGGGGGAAGTGAAACGAAACGGTTTGAGATTATTCATTTATTTATTTGGTAACATTAGTTTGGTGAGTGGGCTTTGGTTATGGGTTGCCTTACAAGTAAGATTCTATGGTAACATTGTCAAAGATTATTATTACAATACATTGTCAAAATTATTTATAGAAAAACTTCTCTAGAAAGACATTTGAAGTTACATTGATATAATTTCTATCATCATCCATTATCAATATATCTTTAACTCATCTATTGATGTTACTTTGAAATTATAACATATAATTAATCATGTGAAAATAGATATGTTGAAAGATATACTTTGATCATCATCGATTATCAATATATCTTTTAACTCATCTATTGAGGTTTCTTTGAAATTATAACATACAATTAATCATATGAGAATATATATGTTAGAAGATATACTTCAACATCTTTAAGAGAAATTTTTTTTTTATTGATGGTCATTGGAAACGAAAATAGTCATAGAAAATTGCCTTTGTTAAAATTTGAAAGACAATCTTGCATCAGATGATGTCAAAGACACTTTAAATATAAAAACTTTGTCATCAATATTACTACATGATATGACTTTTGCTTTCATGACATATTTATTCATATTTAAAACGATCAGTCGAGTTTCATTACAAAATCCTACATATTGGTTTATATTTAATAACAGTATTAATGGCAGACCAACCTTAGTCTCAATTTATGGTTTTGAAATCCCGAAGAAGTAATTTTGCTCAAAAATTTTAGAGCGCGGGTATCATCAACTGCATTAGTATCTAAATTTGTGGTGTATGTAATATCATAACTGAGATATATTTTGCCTACACTAAGAAGCAGGTCCAACATAATCATTATCATGTCAACAATGGTGTTTTTTAGTGTTAAACTAGCCTTATTTTGAAAGAAAGATATATCTTCAATTTACCTTTAAGGTTTGGATATATGGCATCGGCAACTCATACAAGAGAATTGTTGATGAGTGTCAAAAATATGTTAAATACGTAGACGTGTATTAACTTATTTTACAAGTAATCAATAAAAAAACACATGTTTGGACATCTTAACGATGTATTAACTTAAAATAGGTAAAAAAGGATCAAGAAAACACAAAAACAACACAAAGGCAAAGCCAAAGTACTTTCCCGGAAAATTAAGGTCCGTTAAGCCAAGAACATGTGCATGCTTAGCGAGCAAAGGTGCCAATTTCATTAAGCCAAGAACACAGGCGCACTTATCGAGCAAAAACGGTTCATCACTTCAGGGTTAAGTTATTTCAAGGTGAACAAATGGTTTGGTGGCTAAGTGAGTGAAAGCAGTTCACTTAGCGAGGAAAGGCGACAAGACAAGTTACATGTGAGCTGACATTACTTAGCCTAGACGAAAGTATGTGTGCAAAGCGAGACTAGATGATACGCTTAGCAATTCTAGCCTATAAATAGGGGTTTCAGACAAAACATTTAAGATATATCAGTGGATTCGAGGTAGTTCATAGAGAAATTAGGTTATCACCGCAAATCACAAAATGAGAGAATATGATAGGAAGATCGAAGGCATAAGCACTACTGGAGGAATCGTCAACCAATGTTGTTTAACTTCTTTCTTCAAGGCCTTGATTATAAAGCTACGATGAATAAACATACCTAACTTTATTTTTTATTGGTGTTATATGTAGATTGCATATTACTTATGTTTTTATCCCGACCATGGTGTTTTATGTAATTCTTCTTAAGTTTTATTATTGATAGATTCTTCGTTCTTAATGCTTGTTTAGGATTAACTACAGAAAACATGTTCTCGTATTATGACTTGATATTCAAAAGGTACTAGTCATTACTAGATCCAAGTCTACCATCTATTGGATATTAAAGTATAGACATAGATTTTGGTTTAACATTTACTTTAATAGTTGAAACTTAATGTTGACATATTTTTAGTAGGTTGAGAGGTTGTCTATTAAGTAATATGGCTGATCTCACATCGTTGACTCGAATATGATCTATGATGAGAGCTTCTGGAAGTAATATTAATAACTTATTAGAATTGCAAATTACTTGCCAATGGTGCTACATGAGAATATGTCAATGAAATCTAGCCCCAAAAAAGTCAAATGTTTCACAGAGAAATGTATGAGGTTCCTACACACTCGAAAATTTATTATTGTGAGCTTTGCACTATAAATCATCCCACAAGATATTAGTCTACACTATATGAAGTAATAAACTTCTTGAATAATCAACAAAGACCATGGAAATGTCAAAGAAATATTAATTGTAGATGATATGCATAATTTGTCAACAGACAACAGCCATACAATTAATTTCCTCAAAATAGTTCATCAGGACTAGAGGATACACTAAATCAATACATGCATTTATATATGGTGAAACATCAAAATCCTCCTCAACAGTACAATACATCAAGATTTAAGGAGACATTAAATTAGTTCATACAAGTGATTATGGAAATCCAAAAAAGCATAGACGCTTCAATCAAAAACCTTGCAACGTAAATTGGTCATATAATTAAACATCTACTTGATATGAAAACCAATGCCAACACTCGACCTAACTCAAATAAACACTACAAAATGTGTGGAAATGGAAGTGATAAAGAAATAGACATGGTTGTTGTTAAAGAAGAAAGTGGGAAAGAAGTTGCAGAAAAGAAGTTGGATAAAAATATAAGTTACACTATTATAGAAAACACATATAATAACGTCTGCGTTATTACGGATATTCAATCAATCGTTGTAATATGTGATATTTAGGTGCATGATTTTATTTTATATAACCACCTATAATCACGGTTGATTTAATACCCGTGGTAAAAAGTGGCGTATGGTCATGAGTTCAAATCTCAGCACCAACATTTTTGGTTATTATTTATTTTTTGAAAATACCGACAGACCTTTCACCATGGATATTTAAATCAACAGTGGTTATAGGTAGTGCCTTCTTTTTTTTTAATATATACATAACACTCTTAGTTCATTCACTTTTGCTCTGGATGTACTTAGACAAACTTCATCTTCTGCCTCCAAACTTCTTCCATTTGTGAAACATTATTCATCCAGTAAACTAAACTTAAAAACATCATTTCTTCCACAAATGAAACTCAGAAGCATTGCTTCCATTAACGTGTTATAGTTTGTTCCAGTTTAACGATTCTACAGATAAATTGTTATTGTTTAACAATTCTATTTATTTAGTTATTTATTTATTGTTGTTCGTATTGTTTTTGTTGTTGTTATTGTTCTTCCTTTTGTTGTTGTTCTTGTTGTTTTTATTGTTGTTATTGTTGTTGTTGTTGTTATTCTTATTATTCTTGTTGTTGCTCTTATTTTTCTTGTTGTTATTCTTATTTTTGTTCTTGTTGTGGTTATTGTTGCTATTCTTGTTCTTGTTGTTCTTGTTATTGTTCTTGTTGTTCTTGTCATTCTTGTTATTCTTGTTGTTGTTGCTCTTGTTGTTATTCTTGTTATTCTTGTTGTTATTATTGCTCTCGTTGTTCTTGTCGTTCTTGTTATTATTTTTGTTGTTCTTGGTGTTCTTGTTATTCTTCTTCTTCTTCTTCTTCTTCTTCTTCTTCTTCTTCTTCTTCTTCTTCTTCTTATTATTATTATTATTATTCTTATTATTATTATTATTATTATTATTATTATTATTATTATTATTATTATTATTATTATTATTATTATTATTATTATTATTATTATTATTATTATTATCATTATTATTTTTGATCTTGTTGTTCTTGATGTTGTTGTGTTAAAATATTTATATTGCTTATTGTGATGAAAGTAATAAATATAGTCCAGCAAAACATGTGGTAAAATTTATAAAAAAAAATGTTGACAGGCCTTTCACAACTGGTATTTAAACACAACCTTGATTATAGGTAGCGCCCTTTTCAGTTTTCTACCATGGGCACTGAACCTTGATTGTAAATACCCCACATACAACCACACGCTACATACCAACGGTCAGTCATGCGTGATAATATATTTTTTCCAACTGTTGTTGTATATGTTTTTCGTAGTAGTGTTAAGTGGCACAGACAAAAGCTTAACGAACAAAAGAGAAAAAACTGAAAAGTCTACTTATTTAGAATATGTCTGACACGCTAACTCCAACTTATAAAAGACTGTATTCAAGGCTTTCAGTCATTCTCAAAAGAGTGCAAATAAGGACACCATCCTCTGAAGCATTGGAGCAACTTCTTACATGTCTCAAATTCAAGAGAGAGAATAGGAAGAAGAAAATAAGATATATCAAGCAACCGTAACATAAGAGTCGGGTTAATGATGTTAAATAAGCGCATGTTGGAAGGAAATCAAACCCTTTTTATATTTTTTTTTCTAGTCTGTCTGTCAAATTTATCAAAAATCACATATTTTAAAGCAAAATGAAACACAAAAGAAAGGAAATCTCTCTAAGTGCACCTTGGCATATGCCATTGCTTGCTAAGCACGCAAATCACCAGGCCACCTCTCTCTTACCTCTCTCTTAGCCAAACTCTGCTCGGCCAGCCAAGAACTAAATTTCAGTACTTTTAAAAGTCATGACTTCTCACTTAACCAGCTAGAGCTCGCTTAGCAAGAGACTCGTTTCAAAACATTGGGAAATGGAGTAAGACTTAAAAATTAACCATTTCAAATCTCACATTCTGTCTAATACACGGTTACACAAAAAAAAAAAAAACTAGATAACCATATGAGAAGTTCTTCAAGAAAGAAAAACATTAATTTAATCTCTTTAATTCAATTAAGAATTGCTCAAGTATGTTATTTTACTCTCTATATTATGCTTAAGTGTTTATACACTTTGAACTTGGTTGAACAAACTCAATACTTCTCTAATTTAGAGTTGAATTAAGGATAATTTAATTGCTTCACTGTGTTACTTTGATGTTGAGGATTATGCATGAAAACTT